TAGTTTGAATTAATCCAGGTTCAATGTTTTTGATATTAGAAAGATGTTCAAAAATCTTTGGTTCTAGTAATAAATTGGCATTGCTATTATATTTTACTCCACGAGGAAAAAATAATTGTGAAATTTTTTAAAAAATATATCTTAAACCTAGTTAAAAGTTTTAGATACTAGAAAGATGTTCCTAAACCTGGTCTTGTAATAAATTGGCACTGCTGTTATATTTTACTCCACGAGGAATTGTTTTAAGCCTAGTTAAATGTTTATGATATTAGGAGGATGTTCTAAAACGTTTAGGTCTAGCAATTAATTGACACTGCCATTTTATTTTGCTCCACAAGGAAAAAATAAATTGTGAAAATTTTTAAAAATTTATCTTAAGCCTAGTTAAAAGTTTTTGATACTAGAACGATGTTCTTAAACCTTTGGGTCTTGTAATAAATTAGCACTGCTGTTATATTTTACTCCACGAGGAAAAAAATTACGAATTTTATTTAAGACGTTGTTATAAACCTAGTTAAATGTTTGTGATATTAGAAAGATGTTTTAAAACATTTGGATCTAGCAATTAATATTTTAGTCCACAAGGAAAAAATAAATTGTTAAATTTTTTAAAATTTATCTTAAGCCTAGTTAAAAGTTTTTGATACTAGAAAGATGTTCTTAAACCTTTGGGTCCTATAATAAATTAGCACTGCTATTATATTCAACTCGACGAGGAAAAAAATATAAATTTTTTAAACACTTTTTTTAAAACCTAGTTAAATATTTATGATATTAGAAGATTTTTAAAACATTTGGGTCTAGTAATTAATTGGCATTGCTATTATATTTTACTCCACGAGGAAACAATAAATGCGAATTTTTTTTAAAAATTTACCTTAGGATTAGTTAAAAGGTTTTAATACTAGAAAAATGTTCTTAAACCTTTGGGTCTTGTAATTAATTGGCACTGCTATTATATTTTACTCCAGAAAAAAATAGATTGTGAAAATCTTTTAAAAACATATCTTAAGCCTAGTTAAAAGTTTTAGATACTAGAAAGATGTTCCCTTTAGGTCTTGTAATAAATTGGCACTGTAGTTATACTTTACTCCACGAGGAAAAAAATTTTCGAATTTTTTTTAAGACGTTGTTTTAAATTTAGTTAAATGTTTATGATAATAGGAAGATGTTCCAAAACTTTTGGATCTAGTAATAAATTTGCACTGCCATTATATTTTGCTCCACTAGGAAAAAATAAATTGTGAAAATTTTTTAAAAATTTATCTTAATACCTAGTTAAAGATTTTTGATACTAGAAAGATGTTCTTAAACCTTTGGAACTTGTAATAAATTAGCACTGCTGTTATATTTTACCCACGAGGAAAAAAATTTATTTTTTTTAAGACGTTGTTAAACCTTTATAAATGATTGTGATATTAGAAAGATGTTCCAAAACCTTTGGGTCTAGTAATTAATTGGCACTTCCACTATATTTTACTCTACGAGGAACTAAATTATATATTTTTTTAAAATGTTTATCTTATAAATTTTTTTAAAATGTTTATCTTAAACTTAGATTTAAGTATATGATACTATATAAAAATGTTCAAGAACTTTTGGTTCTAGTAATAAATTGGCACTGCCATTTTATTTTACCCAACGAGAAAAAAATTATGAAATCTTTTTTAAATTTTGTTTTAAGCCTAGTTAAGAATTTTACAGTAAGATGTTCAAAACTTCTGGGTCTAGTAATAAATTGGCACTAGCATTTTATTTTACAACACGAGGAAAAATTAATTATGAAAATTTTTTAAAATTATGTTTTAAGCTTAGTTAAAGGTTTTTGATACTAAAAAATGTTCAAAAACCTTTGGTTCAAGTAATAAATTGACACTGCCATTATATTTTACCCCACGAGAAAAAATCAATTTTCACGCGAAAAAATAAATTTTCATAAATTTTCACGAAAAAATAAATTATTTAATTTTTTAAAAAAGTTATTTTAAGCCTAGTTAAATGTTTTTGTACTATAAAGATGTTCTAAAACATTTGAATTCACGAAATTTCTAGTGCTAATATTATTTAACTCCTGCGTAAAATATAAAAATAAAATTATATATTTATGTTTTGAGTAAGGTTCATATAGTATTAAATCCACACTGCTATTCTGATTCATCCACCAGGAAGATTAAAATATAAATATTTTTAATAACGTTGTTATGAGACTAGTTAAAAGTTATTTATACTATAAATTTTTTTTAGTAGAACCTTTGATTTTATAGAGATTCCCATTGACATTATTATTTATAATTCTTGCGTTAAAATTTAGAAATATTAAAAAATATATATATTTATGTTTTGAGCCCAATAGTAAGTTTGGGTCTAATAATAAGTTGTCGCTATCATTCTATTTTAATCCACGAGATAATTAAAAATTTGAAAAATTTTGCGAACTTTGTTTTGTGCCTAATAAAATATTTTTGATATTAGAAAAATGTTCCAAGGCCCTAGTTTCTAGAATAAATTATTATTAATATTTTTTTTTTAACTTGAACTTAGTTTAAATTTTTTGGTATTAGAAATGAGTGGTATACCATTTGAAACTTTTTAGGGGATTGATAGTGGAAAAGATAGAACTGGGGAAGTTGATCAGTCATTCCATTTTAAAATTTAAGTCACTTGTATATATTAATTTCCTAAAATGATCTTAAATCATCCATCTTTTTGCTAAAAATATTTTGAAATATTTAACTATTACAAATTTTTTATATCAAATTTGGAAAATGTTTGTAAGACAAATAATTTTAGCAAATTTTGAATTATCGTAATTTGTTATTTTTACAAAAATTTATGAATTTTACAAACATATATGATGTCAGGAAAAGTACGACAAAAATAGTTTCCAAAAGAAAGATTGGGAAACGATATTGATATCTTTGAGGAGATAATTATACTCCATATTTTTTTTTATTCTATACTCCAAAATAAATAGTCTAAAAGCATTGAAGAAATGGATAAAATTTTTTAAAAATAACGATAAATCCATAAAAACATGTACTGTACCTATTTTAATTTTACTTTAATTTATCCTCTTAAAAAAAATTCTTAATATTTTTTTCTATGTATCTCTATCATGTACTTTTTTCTTAATTCATTGAGCTTGATTATAAACAACTTATAAAAATATGATGAATTTTTTATTTCCATATGTCATTTTTTAAAATGTATGAAGCCCTAAAATCGTACTTTCAATTAACAATCCACCAATTATCAGAAATTTTTTGAAATGATTTAAAAAATGCATATCTGTGGTTTTCCCATTCCTTGATTTATAAGTTTCATTAAAAAAAATAAATCAGTTATTGAAATATTAAATAATTTAAAATCATTAAAATATATGTTAACCTAAAGATGAAATATTTTTCCATTAAATGTAAAGGCAATATTTAAAACAAATATGGACAAAAATTCCAATTAGATGCTTTGAGAGGTATGTTATAGACATTGCAGGTAATAAGTTGATCTTAGGTCACAATCTCTATAAGAAATGGATGGAAATAAAAATTCCAAGTAGTCACATTTAGAAAATAGAATCTTTGAATAATAAAAATTTTTGTTTTAATAAGTCAAAGTTGTTTAACTAATCAGCCAAGTTTATAGATAAAATAATCACGGCCAAAACTAATTAATAAAAAAATTAGACATCGGATAAGGATTTCTGCTAATCACCCTCAAGGTTATATTATAAATATAAATATTTTAATAAATATAAAGATAAATTGTCTAATGCTGACGGATAATTAGCCGAAATCCTTAAAGTAGCCAATGCTTAATTATTTTAGCTGCTAAGCTTAATTAGCATAGTTTTTCGCCAATTATGCAACACAAGATCAGACCACAATAAAACACTATTAAATTTGAAAATAAAAATTTTAATCATGGAAATTTCCTTTCAAAAGTAAAGAAAATAAGGATTATGTTAAGTGGCACACAATGTATTGCCAACAGAAGCTCTTCGTTAGATTTAAAAAATGGGAAAATAACAAAATTATTAAGGTATGTAATTTACGATATTTTAAACTTTTTTCCCAAAATCTACACACAACTGATTATAATAATCTCGATTATTTTTATGAATATTTTTTAACTTTATAATTTACGCAATTTAATTGTGAAAGAACGTTTAGTAAATTTAAAATAGGCTTGGGGAAAATATGAGATACAATAATTTGTAGGCATTTTATTGATATCCTTAGTAAATTGTTGATGCAAATTTAACTAAAAATATTTCTTTATTTACGCTAAAGTTCTAAATTAATGAGATATAATAGTTTTTAAAATTTTATCATTTTTAAATTCTATTCATAACGTGCTTAACAAAGATTTAATTAAAAATAGTTTAAATATTCTAATAAAATCTAATGAATGTAAAAAAATTACGAAAACTATCACTAGTATATAAATATATCATGAATAAATTGCTTTTTTACCTTTTTTTTTTTAAATAGAACCGATTATCCTACATTAGACTGAAAATTTAAGGTTTCCTTTTTTTAAATAATTTCACCAATTAGGCACCACTTTTATAATTCGTGGCGTCAAATTGAGAAATTAATTAAATTTAGAAATTATTTAAATTTAGAAATTATTTAAATTAAGAAATTAATTTAATTATATAAAATATTAAATATATAGAATTGTTTCTTTAAAATTTTTAAAAAATTAAAATTATTACAAAAAATGTGTATTAATATAATTTCTTATTGTTATATAATAATTCAACCATTATTATCATAAATAACAATTAATTTACATGTCTGACTTTTTACAAAAATATAATTTTCTCCTTACATATTCATAATAAAACATCAATAATTACACGTCTGATTTTTCTACAAAAATTGTAATTTTCTCATTCAAATTCCCTAATATCGCCTGATCTTATACAATTTTTTTTTATAAACTATTGAAATTTTTAAAAAAACTTTATTTAAAAAAAAAACTATAGCCAATGAATTCAGTGCCAAAACTAAATAACCTTTTAAATGGAGATGAATGTATTGCAGATTATATTTTAAAAACATTACATTAATGGTAGGATATTAATTAAGCATTTATAATGTATTTCGACTTTTTTTAATATAATTTAAAACCTCTAGTTCAATATTAATTGTAAACTCAGCAACATTTGTTTCCCCAATAGAAAAATTCTCATCATTTTCTTTATTAGATGTTAAATCTATTGGTGTTATAGTTTATGTTGATATGTCCTGATTGATTTTATTAAATATTTTTTTCGCTATCTATTAACTCAATATTAACCTTTAGGATTGATTTTTTTTATTCTTTATATTAACCTTCGGACTCATTTTATATTATTAACTTAATAGTTTGATTATATAAATTATTAAATAGATTTTTTATATAAATTGATTTTTAAAATCTATATAAGCATGAAAATATATTGCATTTATAGTGAAATAATTTTTTAAATAAATAAAATAAAAATTTTAAAACACTTTCTTAATTTTTTTCTTCTCCCCCAACCTTAGCATGGTGGCAGCGCTGGGATATTATTTATTCTTCAAGTTTGAGCACAATAACCTGTTCAGGCATAAGTGTCATGGGCTGCAATAAATTCACAACCTTTGGTGGGGTTAGAGAGGTTTTCGATTTCAAGGAATCCAATACAATTTCTGCTTTATCAGATAATTGTGTGACATTTCGATTTTTACAAAAGTTGCTGTCTCTTTTCCAAGATTGATGAGGGTAATGTAATTAGGGTAATCATGGCATTTGCGCACAAAAGCAAAAATATTAGGATTCTGAGAGATGATTTTAAAATGACCACCACAGAATGGATCCGTTTTTGAGCGCCATCAGTTGGGAAAATACTGGAATGTATTTGTTGGTTTGTTCTAAAGTCTTAACATTATTGCTTTCAAAATTTTGGCTGACAGGTGTCCAAGATTGAGAGGAAACATTGGAAAAGCCTGCATTATTATGAGGTTTCCATAGCATGGGCGATCTAAACATATCTCTACATTCCCCTTTGAAAGGAATTTTGCATAAAGGGTAATAGGATTGTTGAAGGGATGATAGAGGGTTGTCAGCAAGACCTATTTCATCTCCATAATAAGGTAAGGATGTACCAGGTAATAATAAAAGTAAGGCATTCAGTGCATTTACATAAGTTTGGCTTCCCACATCTTGGATGTTATTCTGCTGACATCTTTATTTCCCAACATCCAAGCCCCTTTCTTATCTGGTACTTGTTTCCTGACATTTTGTACATAATCAGCAACACATTGCATCACAATTTCCCTTGATCTGTGTCAGGGCTTCGTTAACAACTACATCAGCTTTAAAGCCATAGATCATTGTGCTGTCTTCTAAGTATGATTCAACTAACATAATTCTTCTTTTTGTTAGCCTTTTCAATAACATCTTTGATAAATGAAATCAAGCCATTGGTTTTATATTGTCCAAGGGTAATATTTTTAGGCATTGATGATATATTTAAAGTTGTTGTTGGGATATATTTAAACCATATATCAGCATTAGGAAAGAGAAAACCATCAACATCATATTTCAACCAAAATTCAATAATATCTTAGATTTCTGTTTTCAAAGCTTCACTGTATAAATTAAGGTTGGGTAAATTAGAAGCAAAATGGCTCAGATAATATTGATTTCTTTATGGTAAAAATGTCCATGTAGACCCAACCCAAAAACTCCGTTCATTATTAGGTGGATTTCCACCATTTCCATTTTCCAAACAACAGCGGCTATTTTTGTAAATTTCTAATAAATTAAAATTTTATTAAAATATAAAGATGAATTTCATATTAACTATTTCACATTTCTAAAAATAAAATAAATAAATTATATTAAAAAAAAACAAGAAGAAATTTTTTTTTTTACAATTAATTAAATATGGTGGACGATAAAAAACCCACTGTTTCTAATGATATTATATTATATAAATGCGAATTTCCTAAATATATAGGAAACATTGATACATATTTAACTAAAATTGAACTTATTTTTAAAAATAATAAAAGCACAGATAACGAAAACGCCACGAGCTTACTACATAATTTACCAGATTTTAAACTACTATCAATATGCATTGTATCCGATCTCAAGAAATCGTCGACACTTATCAACAAATTTAGATTACAGCCTGCCAAGATTCGAAACAATAAAAATATTGAATTCAATGCAAGGGTTCAAAAGAGAGCGAAAGTTTTTTAGATTGGCTTACCCCTATTTGTCAGCTCAATATGGATTGCAACTTTATCGGATACGACAGGGTTTTAGAAAAAATAAAGGAAATTAAATACAGAATTAAAGATTTACTCATTTTAGATGACATTATAAAGATAGGCAAAGAGTTAGACGAAACTGAGATTGAAACTACATAAGATTGTTCTGATCTAAAACATTTGGAGGGAGTAAGACAAGATAAGAAAGTTTACGGACAAAAACCAACTAATATATGATATGACAATACCCAGATGATGCCATATACTGAGAGCAACTGAGTTTATGATAATAATTACAAACATCAGTTTAGACAACCATGGCAGACTCGACCATTATATGGCAACCAAAGATTTAACAACCAAAATAACTATCATTTTCCAAGACGAAACTATTATAGATTTCATGATCAAAATAGATGGGAAACTCCTTATATTCCTTTCAATAATCACGACACAAGAGATAACAATAATAGATTTAATAATTACAATTATGGATATAATAATAATTACAAGCCTTTTAATGATTTCAAAAACCACAACGGATTTGACACAACAGACAATCGTTTTAAAATTTTAGAGGTTATAATGGATCCAACGTGCATCAACAATTTTACGATCGTGATAAAAAAAATTATATGTCTCCTAATCCTAGACATCAAGCGCCTTATTTAAATAAAATCAGTACAGTTAATATAGAGGATATCGAAGACGACAAAATCATATCAAACGATAATAAAGATTATAATTTATTAAATAATATAAATAACGTAGAAAACGAAGTTCAAAATATTAAAGATGATGCATATATGGTGAAAATCAAAATTGATAACGTTTTAACTTCACTACAAGTAGATACGGGCATGAGATTTACAATTCTACCTAGTATATGATTGAGAAAATAGGCATAAAAAACATTACGAAGTCCAACATACAGTTATCAGGTACGGCAAGACGATACTAGGCACGCAAGTGAATGTAGAATACGAAGGGAATTCTCAAATTTTATATGCATTAGTCGTAAACAGCAGCAAGATGCCTTTACTAGGAACATGGTTAAAACATTTTAATAATTTGAAAGATCCATAGGTATGATTGATATGGATCATAAAGACGATTTGGCGGAGTTGATATCCAATTGCAAGTCAAAATTAAATAATAAACCTGTCATTAAAACTCAAGTTAGATTATGACTAAAGTCAAATGTTAAGTCAAAAATTATACCACAGAGAAGGGTACCTTATTCTAGAATAGATATTATAACTAAAAAATTAAATACCTGGCTGGAAAACAAGATCATCGAGCCGATAAAAGACGTCAGGTAGACAAGTCCACTCCCACCAGTTTTTTAAAAAAAAGGGAGTCTTAAAGACACAGTTAACCCAGCGCTTGAAGATTTCAAATACCCCATACCTAGAATTAACGATTTGATAGCCAAGTTAGCTAGAAGCAAAACCATATTAGCTAAAGAATACTTTTGGAGGCCTGGAATTAACAATGATATTAATAACGAAATAAAGGAATTCAAATCATGTAACATTTGGGCCGATAATCCCATCAACACACAGCATATTTGGATGTTAACGACGAAGCCATTCGAAAGAATACACCTTGACTATGCTGGGCCATTTTTTAACAAATACTGGTTGCTTATAGTAGATGCGTAAAGTAAGTTTTCTATAATCACGCCGGTGAAATCAATAATCGAGGAATTCACAATAAAAGAATTGATGGTATTCCAGAACAAATAGTTTCTGATAATGGCCTAAACTTTACAAGTCAACTATTCAAAAAATTATGTAGAGACCACTTTCAGACTTCAGACCACCATTAACAGTCAAATGGGCAAGTTGAAAGGATGGTGAGAACTTTCAAAACACACATGAATAAGTGTATGGAGCAAAACCATATAGATATAGATATGGCTCTTGAAAACTTTTTGCTCAACTACAGAAACACGCCTAACAGTACGACTGGTATCCCACCAAGTTAAAATATAAAAAAGATAACGACAACAGTTTGCTCACAGTTTTACCAAAAAATAGAACTATGGCATATTGGAGTAAAATATGGTATAAATGTTTTGGAGTAAATAAATGGGATGAAGGCGTTATAATTAAAAAAAGTAACATGCTATATCAAATTCACACGAAAAATGGTGTATTAAGGAGGCACTTTGACCAACTTAAAAAAAGTTATACCACTGACAAAATTTCATGCATGAACCAAACACTTCATCAACGGTTACATTTTACAAAAGCAGAAATGTTATTGACCAAGAAAAAGATTGTACAGCCGACGTTACGAGGCCTAGTCCAAATAGAACATTACCCGCACGATATCAAGATTATATTTTGAACATAAAAGATTCACGTCCAAGAAGAACTTAAGCGGAGTTTATTTCTTAAAGGGTAGAATATTGAGATATCCTGATTGAATATTAACCTTACGGATTTTTTTATTCTTTATATTAACCTTACGGACTCATTTTATAATATTGACTCAATAGTTTGATTATATAAATTATTAAATAGATTTTTATTTAAATTGATTTTTAAAAACTATATAAGCATGAAAATATATTGCATGTGAAATAATTTTTTAAATAAAAATTTTAAAACACTTTCTTAATTTTGTTCTTCTCCTTGCCAACCTAAATAGTTTAAGCTTGATTATAAACTCTTTGTACTACATTTAAAATTTCTATTAATAATATAGTTTGAAGGTATTTTTTTTTGTCATACGACTCAAACCATAAGTTCTTAAAATATGGATTTTATATTGATGTCAGAAAAGCCTCATTATATTTATATCATTGGAAAATATTTTCTTAAAATCTTTTGCTTATACCAACTTGGGCAGCTTTTAATAAAGGTAAACAATATTGTAAAATTTTTAAGATAACCTATGTCCCTTTACCACATATAAATAATATACTTTATATGTTTAACACTGTCATTTTTTTGTTTATACAAGTCTTACATTCATCCTGTACGTTGTTTTTAATATGACGATTAATACTAACCTTTAAATTGTTTTTTTTTAGATTGCTATAAATTGATTTTTTTATAAATTGATAGATTGATTTTTTTTATATAAATTTTTATATATTTTGTTATATAAAGCTGATTTTTTTAGTTTAAAAAAATGTAAAATTTTAAAATATATTGTATAAAATTAAATTATTTATTTAAAATAAATAAACGATTTTTATAAAAATAAAACTCGTATCATTACAATAAATATTCTAAAAATACTTTATGGTAGCAGCTCCGCTACATATTCGAGGAAATCGTAAATAAATAATAAATATGAAACAGATTCCCAATAATAATGTTAATATAAATATTGAATTTCCAATATACGCAGGCAATGGCGATCTTTTTTTGAGTAGATTCGAAGATATCTTCAAGGACACTCAGATCACGGACATCGAAAAAGCAGGTTTCTTTACAAGAAGACTACCAGATGAGGTATATATCAAGCTTAAATCGATATGTTCACCTACCGACTTCATCAATCCATCGATATTGATTGAAAAATTCAGGTTATTACACCCAACGCAGCTGTACAAGGTAAAAACGAAAGTTACATCGATTGGGTAAGTAGATTATGCATTTTAAAAAATGAATGTTTGCTAAGTGATAGTAGAGTTATTGAAAAAGTAAAAATTTCGTCAATCAGCAAAAATATTAGGCAGAAAATTACGTTAAAAGAAAATATTACATTAGAAGAAGTTCTTACTTTAAGAGATGATTTTGAAGAGTTAGAATTGAAAGAAAATATAATTGCTAAAGTTGAATATATTTATTTAAACGAAAAAACAGAAGATGATACAACCGTGAAACATGTAGAAAGGCAAAGAGGCAGGAAAACAGAAGAAAATAAACAATTGATGAGATATGGAGACCAGGAACGACAAAATTTACAATCTAATTATGATAACAGACAACGATGGACAACAAGAGGCCATGAATTTCAAAGAAATATTTATCAAGGAAATAGTTATAACCCCAGATATCAAGGAAATAATTACAACCCTAGATATCAGAATTATAACGCGAATTATTACAACAACGTCAGAGCAAACTATCCAGGATCGTACAATAATTCTTCGAGATTTGATAATAGAGCTAGTTATAATAAAAATGACTATAATAATAATAGATTTAATAATGATTATAATTACAGATATAACAGACATTATAACGATTCAAGATGCATTCAAAGATATAACGATAATCATAATATTGGAAATCGAGGAACAAATCAAGTATGCAATTGTAAATATCATAACAACGACAATAATCAATCACGATATACAAATAAAGTAAACACTGTAAATATAGAAGAGAGTTATTAAAAACAATAATGAAATAAAAATTGAAGAAAATAATAAAATAAAAAATTTTATAATTATTAAAAAATTTAAAAAAACTTTGGAAAAGAAAATTAAAACAAAGGTGATTAAATATGTTGAAAAAGAGATTAGGAGTACGATATGGAGATCGTATGTTGAAAATGGAAGGAGAAAGAGAAATTTTGTTATAAAGAACAAGTTAAAAAGAAATTATGATATAAAAAAAGGGGTATGACTAAATACTGAATTACTAAAATGAATTGCTAAAAAGCAATTAATCATAATCAATCAAAATTTTATTATGTATATTATATTTAATAATAATTTTTAAAACTTTTTTGAAAATATACTTAAATTTTTTTTTATTAAATGAAGGATACTAATTAAATATCATATAATATATAATTTTATTTTGAGTTAATATTATTATAAAAGAAATATTTTCATAGCTAATTAAAACATAAATAAATTTTTTTCAATTTTAAAAATTAACAAATATATATCCGTAAGTGGGCGTTATATGCGTAAATATGTAAGTATCATTTTAGGAAACCGGAATGATGATTGGATAGCGCTTTTTTTATATTTGGGTATATATACATATGAAAAACCTAAAAAATAATGGGAATTTTCTAAGGTAAATATTGCTGGCGTTATTTATCAAAATCTCTTAATTTTTGTTTTATATGTGTATATTTACGTGCTAAGCATTATCCTAAAAAATTTTTTGAAAATAATTTGATTTGACCGATTGCCGAGCTTAAAACCGACCATTCACTAAATATTCGATTGACCAAATTTACTAGTAATACAATTTGAAAAATGTTGATTTTCGTTTTATATATCTATAAATACGTGTAAAACATAATCCCAAAAAATATTTTTAAAATATCGCTATTTGGCGGATAACCGACTCGTAGCCCACCCAATGACTAAATAATGAATTGCTGGCGTTTTAAATCAAAATATCTTAATTTTTATTTTATATGTGTATATTTACGTGCTAAGCATTATCCTAAAAAATTTTTTGAAAATAATTTGATTTGACCGATTGCCGAGCTTAAAACCGACCATTTACTAAATATTCGATTGACCAAATTTACTAGTAATACAATTTGAAAAATGTTGATTTTCGTTTTATGTATCTATAAATACGTATAAAACATAATCCCAAAAAATATTTTTAAAATATCGCTATTTGGCGGATAACCGACTCGTAGCCCACCCAATGACTAAATAATGAATTGCTGGCGTTTTAAATCAAAATTTCTTAATTTTTGTTTTATATGTGTATATTTACGTGCTAAGCATTATCCTAAAAAATTTTTTGAAAATATTTTGATTTGACCGATTGCCGAGCTTAAAACCGACAATTTACTAAATATTCGATTGACCAAATTTACTAGTAATACAATTTGAAAAATGTTGATTTTCGTTTTATATATCTATAAATACGTGTAAAACATAATCCCAAAAAATATTTTTAAAATATCGTTATTTGGCGGATAACCGACTCGTAGCCCACCCAATGACTAAATAATGAATTGCTGCCGTTTTAAATCAAAATATCTTAATTTTTGTTTTATATGTGTATATTTACGTGATAAGCATTATCCTAAAAAATTTTTTGAAAATAATTTGATTTGACCGATTGCCGAGCTTAAAACCGACCATTTACTAAATATTCGATTGACCAAATTTACTATAAATTCTTAGTTATAACATTTATATAATTTTTGTATTAACACTTAAAATTTATGCAATACTATATGCTAAAGTATTTTTATTTTTATATAATAAATAAAATCTATAATACTCTCTAAAATTGTGTATGTGCAAATATTTCAGATAATTTTAATTATCTAAGAGATAAGCAATTGAGATTCAAAAAAGGGGCGTTTAAACCCCCTCCCCATGATTATATTCTTTCTAATATTTTTTTATTTTCCTTTATTATTTATATTCGAAATTATTATATTTTCCAGAATATTTTAAAAATATTTGGCATTATTTTGAAAATAAAAAAATTTGAGAGAAGTATATAAAAAATAATAAACAAATAAATAAATACTTTTAAATAATAGCCGTTAAAATTTAAAATTGTTTTATAATTATAAATCATATTTTTGTTATTAAAATGTCTGATCAGTTCTCAAAGTTTTTATTTTGGTAAAATATATATTTAATAATATATTTTAAAATTTTATTATAGGTTAAAGGAAAAGCATGATATGGCTCTCGAAATTCTTAAAAGGATGAAAAATGAAAATATTTTAATTTTTCTCTATTCTATATCATCAAAAGCATTCAAAAAATAAAAGATAATTTTATTAAATTATTGTTAAACTAAAATACATTTGATTCATTAATTGTAATAAAAACAAAGGCGCATAAATATATATAATTAAATGAGGATCAGATATTTTCTACTATCTTAATCTATATTTGATATCATCATTTCCTCATATAATTCAAAAAAAATTAACAAAATAGAAATTATGAATAAGAAATTAAATATAATATTGTAATGTATACGATATGAATAAAAATCAAAAACAAATTTAATACCTATGCGCGATGCGAATAAAAAAAATATCAGTAAACATAATTTTTTGGATAAAATCAAAAAAAAAGGGGATTGATAAAGTTGATTATATGATGGAGTATTTAATGATTAGGATGAAGCAGTCTGTCTGATACAAAAATTTATTGTAAAATTAAAAGATTTATTTGATATATATATGAAAAAGAGTACGACCCGCCAAATAGCGATATTTTAAAAATATTTTTTGGGATTATGTTTTATACGTATTTATAGATACATAAAACGAAAATCAACATTTTTCAAATTGTATTATTAGTAAATTTGGTCAATCGAATATTTAGTAAATGGTCGGTTTTAAGCTCGGCAATCGGTCAAATCAAATTATTTTCAAAAATTTTTTAGGATAATGCTTAGCACGTAAATATACACATATAAAACAAAAATTAAGATATTTTGATTTAAAACGCCAGCAATTCATTATTTAGTCATTGGGTGGGCTACGAGTCGGTTATCCGCCAAATAGCGATATTTTAAAAATATTTTTTGGGATTATGTTTTATACGTATTTATAGATACATAAAACGAAAATCAACATTTTTCAAATTGTATTACTAGTAAATTTGGTCAATCGAATATTTAGTAAATGGTCGGTTTTAAGCTCGGCAATCGGTCAAATCAAATTATTTTCAAAAAATTTTTAGGATAATGCTTAGCACGTAAATATACACATATAAAACAAAAATTAAGATATTTTGATTTAAAACGCCAGCAATTCATTATTTAGTCATTGGGTGGGCTACGAGTCGGTTATCCGCCAAATAGCGATATTTTAAAAATATTTTTTGGGATTATGTTTTACACGTATTTATAGATATATAAAACGAAAATCAACATTTTTCAAATTGTATTACTAGTAAATTTGGTCAATCGAATATTTAGTAAATGGTCGGTTTTAAGCTCGGCAATCGGTCAAATCAAATTATTTTCAAAAAATTTTTTAGGATAATGCTTAGCACGTAAATATACACATATAAAACAAAAATTAAGATATTTTGATTTAAAAGCCAGCAATTCATTATTTAGTCATTGGGTGTGCTACGAGTCGGTTATCCGCCAAATAGCGATATTTTAAAAATATTTTTTGGGATTATGTTTTATACGTATTTATAGATACATAAAACGAAAATCAACATTTTTCAAATTGTATTACTAGTAAATTTGGTCAATCGAATATTTAGTAAATGGTCGGTTTTAAGCTCGGCAATCGGTCAAATCAAATTATTTTCAAAAAATTTTTTAGGATAATGCTTAGCACGTAAATATACACATATAAAACAAAAATTAAGATATTTTGATTTAAAACGCTAGCAATTCATTATTTAGTCATTGGGTGGGCTACGAGTCGGTTATCCGCCAAATAGCGATATTTTAAAAATATTTTTTGGGATTATGTTTTATACGTATTTATAGATACATAAAACGAAAATCAACATTTTTCAAATTGTATTACTAGTAAATTTGGTCAATCGAATATTTAGTAAATGGTCGGTTTTAAGCTCGGCAATCGGTCAAATCAAATTATTTTCAAAAAATTTTTTAGGATAATGCTTAGCACGTAAATATACACATATAAAACAAAAATTAAGATATTTTGATTTAAAACGCCAGCAATTCATTATTTAGTCATTGGGTGGGCTACGAGTCGGTTATCCGCCAAATAGCGATATTTTAAAAATATTTTTTGGGATTATGTTTTACACGTATTTATAGATATATAAAACGAAAATCAACATTTTTCAAATTGTATTACTAGTAAATTTGGTCAATCGAATATTTAGTAAATGGTCGGTTTTAAGCTCGGCAATCGGTCAAATCAAATTATTTTCAAAAATTTTTTAGGATAATGCTTAGCACGTAAATATACACATATAAAACAAAAATTAAGATATTTTGATTTAAAACGCCAGCAATTCATTATTTAGTCATTGGGTGGGCTACGAGTCGGTTATCCGCCAAATAGCGATATTTTAAAAATATTTTTTGGGATTATGTTTTATACGTATTTATAGATACATAAAACGAAAATCAACATTTTTCAAATTGTATTACTAGTAAATTTGGTCAATCGAATATTTAGTAAATGGTCGGTTTTAAGCTCGGCAATCGGTCAAATCAAATTATTTTCAAAAAATTTTTTAGGATAATGCTTAGCACGTAAATATACACATATAAAACAAAAATTAAGATATTTTGATTTAAAACGCCAGCAATTCATTATTTAGTCATTGGGTGGGCTACGAGTCGGTTATCCGCCAAATAGCGATATTTTAAAAATATTTTTTGGGATTATGTTTTACACGTATTTATAGATATATAAAACGAAAATCAACATTTTTCAAATTGTATTACTAGTAAATTTGGTCAATCGAATATTTAGTAAATGGTCGGTTTTAAGCTCGGCAATCGGTCAAATCAAATTATTTTCAAAAAATTTTTTAGGATAATGCTTAGCACGTAAATATACACATATAAAACAAAAATTAAGATATTTTGATTTAAAAGCCAGCAATTCATTATTTAGTCATTGGGTGTGCTACGAGTCGGTTATCCGCCAAATAGCGATATTTTAAAAATATTTTTTGGGATTATGTTTTATACGTATTTATAGATACATAAAACGAAAATCAACATTTTTCAAATTGTATTACTAGTAAATTTGGTCAATCGAATATTTAGTAAATGGTCGGTTTTAAGCTCGGCAATCGGTCAAATCAAATTATTTTCAAAAAATTTTTTAGGATAATGCTTAGCACGTAAATATACACATATAAAACAAAAATTAAGATATTTTGATTTAAAACGCCAGCAATTCATTATTTAGTCATTGGGTGGGCTACGAGTCGGTTATCCGCCAAATAGCGATATTTTAAAAATATTTTTTGGGATTATGTTTTACACGTATTTATAGATATATAAAACGAAAATCAACTTTTTCAAATTGTATTACTAGTAAATTTGGTGAATCGAATATTTAGTAAATGGTCGGTTTTAAGCTCGGCAATCGGTCAAATCAAATTATTTTCAAAAAATTTTTTAGGATAATGCTTAGCACGTAAATATACACATATAAAACAAAAATTAAGATATTTTGATTTAAAACGCCAGCAATTCATTATTTAGTCATTGGGTGGGCTACGAGTCGGTTATCCGCCAAATAGCGATATTTTAAAAATATTTTTTGGGATTATGTTTTACACGTATTTATAGATATATAAAACGAAAATCAACTTTTTCAAATTGTATTACTAGTAAATTTGGTCAATCGAATATTTAGTAAATGGTCGGTTTTAAGCTCGGCAATCGGTCAAATCAAATTATTTTCAAAAAATTTTTTAGGATAATGCTTAGCACGTAAATATACACATATAAAACAAAAATTAAGAGATTTTGATAAATAACGCCAGCAATATTTACCTTAGAAAATTTCCATTATTTTACTATTCTAAACCTACTCATAGATTAAACATCAAAGAAACCTAAATTTTTTTTTTTATTTTTAGGTTTTTCATATGTATATATACCCAAATATAAAAAAAGCGCTATCCAATCATCATTCCGGTTTTCTAAAATGATATTTACATATTTACGCATATAACGCCCACTTACGGATATATATTTGTTAATTTTTAAAATTGAAAAAAATTTATTTATGTTTTAATAAGCTATGAAAATATTTCTTTTATAATAATATTAACTCAAAATAAAATTATATAATATATGATATTTAATTAGTATTCATTTAATAAAAAAATAATTTAAGTATATTTTAAAAAAAGTTTTAAAAATCTTCATTAAATAAAATATACATAATAAAATTTTGATTGATTATGATTAATTGCTTTTTAGCAATTCATTTTAGCAATTTAGCAATTCAGTATTTAGTCATACCGTAAAAAAAGTGTTTAAATTGAAAAATAAAGGAGTAAAATTTAAAAATAAAAATAATTAAATAATAAATAAATAAATTTATTATTATATAAAATAACAATTCCAAATATTCTATTATGATTCTTATTCTTATGAATGATTCTGATAAATTATTTATTCCATTATCATTTCAATTATTCCAAAATTATTTTATTTGAGATATATTGATCATAATATATATTTACAAACACTGATAAAAATGATAATAAATAACGAGATGAACAAGCTAGTGTGAAGATGATGTTCAAACGAATGATTAGATGATAAGGATAACAAGCAAAAATTAATGAAAAGATATGACTGAGGCTAAACAACAACAAAATATCAAATGAAAATTCTACAAAGGAGAAAAAAATTTTAGAGGTGGAAGAAGTGAACAAGTTCAAGATTCGAAAATTCAAAGTCAAGTTCAAAAGCTAGAATATGACATACGACATAGAAAATGATTGTTATGAATAAATAAAATTTTGTAAAAAAATATATATAAAATTTTGAAAGAGAAATGGGATGATCAATACAAACAGCAAATCAACATTCAACTAACGACGTTTCAACAATGATGTTCAACCAACGATGTTTCATGATGTTCGATAATCGATTCAACAAACGATAATCAGATGGTCAAACAAACTATCTAAAGATATACGAACAAATGACTAATGGAGCAATTGAGAAACATGACTGAAGTGACGATAAGATTCACATGTAAGAAAAACCTGAGTGGAGATCATTTTTTTAAAGGGTGGAATGTCAATATGACCGATTACTAACCTTTAAATTGTTTTTTTTTATGTTGATATAAATTGATTTTTTTATAAATTGATAGATTGATTTTTTTATAAATTGATAGATTGATTTTTTTTATATAAATTTTGATATATTTTGTTATATAAAGCAGATTTTTTTAGTTTAAAAAAATGTAAAATTTTAATATATTGTATAAAATTAAATTATTTATTTAAAATAAATAAACGATTTTTATAAAAATAAAACTCGTATCATTACATCAAATATTCTAAAAATACTTTAGTTGTATTTTTTTAACTTTTATTTTAAAAAAATTTCCAACTAAAATTTTAAGATTGGGGATTCAGAGGAACTTATTTCCATAAATTAAATTTCACTACCTTCTTATTAACTATTATGAGTGTTAATCATCCCACAAATTAAAAAATATTTATAATTGGTAATTATATTCTATCGAGTTACATCTATATTATAATTTTCCGATATCCTCTCTATGTCATTCGTAACGTCATGTCATCGCGTCATGTTATCGGTACGTATTTATTTATTTTTTAGTATATTTTTTAGCCTGTTACCTTCCGTTGATAAAAAATATGAAATTTCGATAAAAAGGTAAATGATTTTTCTTAGATTTTATAGAAAATAATTATCACTATTTTAGATTTATCTTAAAAACATTTTATATCATGGAAAAGAAATCTAAAATAAAAGGATATCAGTTTTAATACCTGCTACTCATAATTACTTATGATTATTTAAAACTCAGCCCCTCTTTTAAATATAGTTAAAAAATATATATATAGATGATAGAATAAGGTAAATACAAGAATAATATTTATTTTTTAATTAATAATCAAGATATGTATAATAAAAATATTTTATATAAAATAAATAATGAATTAGCATTTATTTATGTTACTAATATTTATATTTTATTGATAATATATTTTAATTTATATATTTATTTAAACATATCATTTATTATGACCTCGATCTCATGATAGTTATACCAGACTATGGATATGCTCTCTAAAAGGTATTAAGACTAGCACCTCTATTACTATAGAAATGCACTTATTGACTCCTCTATAGGTTTTATTTTAATAAAAATAAATTCTATTTATTCTTTCCTTTTGGTTTTTTTATTTCTTTTCCCTTTCACTTTTATTTTTCTCCCCTTTTTCTTAACCTTACAAATCTTATAGGGTTAAGATGCTGATTTGGCTCGATTTAGAAAAATGACCCTATTAAAATTTTATACAAAATAATATTATATAAGCCTAAATATTATTATATAAGCCTCGAGATTTGGAAAAATATAGGTCCAAACATTTCTGCCATATACGAGCAAAATCTTCAGTCTTATATATTATTTTGGCTAAAATCTTGATAGGGTCATTTTTGTAAATCGACCCAAATCATACTTTTTAACAATTCTACCTGACCCCCCCCCCCTTTCTTTTCATTATTCCCCTGTTCTTTTCCTTAACCTTTTGCTTTCCCCTTTTCCTCTCACTGCTCCTTTCCAGATTTTTTTTCTTTCTCATTTCCCATTTTTTTTTCTCTTTATCCTTTTCTTTCCCTTCTCTTTTCCAGATTTTCTTTCCTTTCTCCTTTCCCATTTTCCCTTCCCTTTCTTATCCTTTATCTATTTCTTTCTATTTTTTTCCCTCTCCCTCTTTCTTTTCCTTGCTCTTTCTTTTCTCCTTACCCATTTTCCTTTCCCTTTTCCTTTTTTTAAATCTCACTTTCCCTTTTTCTCTATTTTTTATTTCACTTTCCATTATCCCGTTTCCTTTCCTTTTATCTCACCCCATTTCCTTTTATCTCTTCTCACCCATTTTCTTTCCCTTTTTCTTCGATTTTCTTCGCTTTTCATTCCTTTCTTTTGCTTTTCCTTCACCTTTCCCTTTTTGCTCTTCTACCTTTTTCTTTCCTTTTACCTTTTTTTTACTATCTCTTTTCTTTCCCTTTTCTTTTCTTTTCTTTTCTTTTCTTTTCTTTTCTTTTCTTTTCTTTTCTTTTCTTTTCTTTTCTTTTCTTTTTCTTTTCTTTTCTTTTCTTTTCTTTTCTTTTCTTTTCTTTTCTTTTCTTTTCTTTTCTTTTCTTTTCTTTTCTTTTCTTTTCTTTTCTTTTCTTTTCTTTTCTTTTCTTTTCTTTTCTTTTCTTTTCTTTTCTTTTCTTTTCTTTTCTTTTCTTTTCTTTTCTTTTCTTTTCTTTTCTTTTCTTTTCTTTTCTTTTCTTTTCTTTTCTTTTCTTTTCTTTTCTTTTCTTTTCTTTTCTTTTCTTTTCTTTTCTTTTCTTTTCTTTTCTTTTCTTTTCTTTTCTTTTCTTTTCTTTTCTTTTCTTTTCTTTTCTTTTCTTTTCTTTTCTTTTCTTTTCTTTTCTTTTCTTTTCTTTTCTTTTCTTTTCTTTTCTTTTCTTTTCTTTTCTTTTCTTTTCTTTTCTTTTCTTTTCTTTTCTTTTCTTTTCTTTTCTTTTCTTTTCTTTTCTTTTCTTTTCTTTTCTTTTCTTTTCTATATATTCCTTTTATTTTACCTTTCTCTGCATTTTTTCTCCCATCTACCTTTTTCTATTCCCTGTTCTTTCCCTTTTTCTTTTCCTTCTCCTTTCTCTTTATTCTTTATTCTTTTCTCTTTTTCTCCCCCCCCCCCTATCTTTACCATTTTCTTTTTTACCCTATTCCCTTTCCCCTCTTCCCTTTTTAAATTTCTTTTCTATATTCCTTTTTTTTAAAATCTTTTCCTCTCTTAAATACACTCTTATTACTTTCCTTTTTTACTTTCCCTTTCCACTTTTCCTCTACATATTTCTTTCCCTTTATCTTTACGTTTCTCCTTTCCCTTTTTCTTATCCCTCTTTTCTTTTTCTTATCCTTTCGTTTTCCTCTTTTCTTTCCATTTCCCTCTTTCTTTTCTTTTCCTATCCCCTTTTTTAAACCGTTTTCTTTTCCCCTTTTCTTTCCCTTTCCACTTCCCTTTTTTTTCCATATTCCTTTTTCTTTGTCATTTCTTTCCTTTCCCTTTTAATTTCTCTTCTTATCTTCCCCTTTCTCATCATTTCATTTCCCTTTCCCCTCTTCCCTTTTCTTTCTCTTTACCTTTTAATTTCCCTAATTTTCTCTTTTATTTTCCTTCCTCAGGCCACAGTGCCTCCGGCCGAAGGCTGGTCTGAAAAAATAAATATTTTCTTCAAATTATTCATTCTAAATTCAACTCATAGTCAAGTAAATTCAATTCTAATAGGTCATATGACGTGATACCCAACAAAATCTACCAACAATATAAACTAAAGTTAGTCACCTATATACTAAAAATGCCTATACTTTCGTACATTTTAGAATACATCTATTTTAGTTTCTGATGATATTCCAACTAACCTAATGACTTCCTCAGGTTCAATGCATTAATATTTTTTAAATTATTCTTTTGTTTTTATTTTAGATAACAAGCCCTGTCTTAACCTTTCTTAATGATTGTACAGATGCTGATTTATCCGTCATAAAGTAAACGTTCCAGGTAGTGGCGTAGCAAGGAATTATTCTTAGAGGGGGTCCATACATATAAAATCCTGGGGACTTCGCCCCCAGACCCCCTTTAACGGGCCTTCGGCCCTTTGCCCTGCCTTCGGCCGGGTTTATCTTAAAAATCATAACCACATCTTCGACAATATATAATAAATAAATGCATGAATAATATGTTATTATAATTTAGTAAATTATTTTCAATGACTTTATAATAATACTACCCAGAATAATTTCAATAGTAATATAATATCCTTCCACAAACATCAAAACCAGAAAAATATAAATATTAATGGTAGTTATTTGATATAAAGTCACTTTTAAGTCTTTTGAACGTATAATCGAAAAAAAATTTGCTCTAGGAGGAGTCCAAACCCGAACCCCCCCCCCCCCCCCCCCCCCGTAGCTACGCCACTGGTTCCAGGGATTGTGAAGCCCAACAAAATCTAATAACAATGCAAAATAAAGTTAGTAATCTATATATTTTTATACTTTTTTATATTTTAGATTACATCTATTTTAGCTACTGATGATATTCCCACTATTTTTAGAAAGTTTAACCTAATATTGACTCCTCTTAAGGTTCAATGCATTATTATTTATTAAATGATTCTTTTTTAGATAACTACATTCACCTAACTCTAAACGGGGTGAAATTATGCATGAATTATTTCCTCATCAGACTTCAGACGACCGCCCAGATTTAATTTGTCGCTTTTTCATTAAAAATTAAAATGTCTAAAAGGATTTGCTCTAGATTTTAACAAATATACAAAATAATAATTAATCCTCATCATTTTAAAAAAAATTAGCTTAAATTTATATGGATTGACGAGAAAAATAATTTTCTTAAAAAATATATAAATAAATTGCAATTAAGTTTCATTAATATTGAATGACATTTTTGTAATTTTAATATATAGAATTTTTTGTTACTTTATAGCCCTTTTCAAATTCTTTGATAAATAATTTCGGAAGGCAAGACATACACTAATTTGAAAAAAAAAATAAACCAATATAATACACAACAATTTATTTTCTAGATATAATTTTAATTGATCATAGTACAAAAAAGTATAAGAAATATTTATTTTTACTCAGGGATAACAAATAATGATGCAAACATTAATCATTCAGCATTATAAAAAATCAATTTTGTTAGAATTGTTGCAGTGGACGCAATTTTAATCCATAACTTAATTTTTGGGGTTATCTCCATTAAAACATGGTAAGATTTGTTATTTCTTATAAAAATATTAGCACAGACCAGATTTTGTCATGATTCTCTAATAAGTAGTTTGTCCGAGCTTTCCCAGTTTATCTTATTACGAATTCACGTGTTTTTTGGGATAAAAAGAATATAAATTGTATATAATTTTTAAATAAAAGGTAACATCTATCATAAAAGAACGAATAAAATTCTCATTCCCTGTCATTTTTAAGGGGATATCTACTAGTTTATATATAAAATATAATCTAAGCTTATATCGCTTTGGTGTTGTTATTTTATATCTTTTTATCTTAATATGAGTTGTAAATTTTCCAGCTAATTTTGGTTGTCAATATATTTAAAATATGGTGAAAAAAAAATAGGAAATTAATCAAAATTTTCCCAAGAAAAT